TTTGACAATAGTTTTGATTCGCCTTTTTAAATTTTTTTTGATGATTTTTTTTGTGGCTGGCGTTGAAAATAGAAAATAAAATTTCTATAATTTTTTTCATCTGTTTTCAATTTTTCGACAATAGTTTATTTTGCTTTTAGCTTTTCTTTGTGGTTGGCATCAAAAATGGAAAAAAAATTTTTCAAGGATTTTTGTGTTGCGCCTTTTTTTTTAATTTTTCGACTTTTATTTTTGTTTTTCGATGATTTTTTTCGTGTTGCTGGTAGCAAATATGAAAAAAAAAAACTAAAATTAAATAATTTTTTTTTTCCTCTTTTAATTGTTGGATAATTTTTTTTTCTCTTTTTATGATTTTTTTTTATGGCTGGCATCGATAGTAAATTTTTATCTTATACCCCGTACAGACTATGGCTTATATCATGTAATATAGGCTGTCTTGCAATGAGCACTCATACATCTAGTTTTCACTGGAAATCCTATATTACATGATATAAGCCATAGTCTGTCCAGGGTATTAGAGATGACATCAGTCGACCATTTCCTGGATAGAAAGACACAATGTCTATAAAGTTGTCAAACAGAGCTCGACAGAATTATCCAAAAATTCCGTTGCTGGCTCCGTTAAGTGAACTATTTAAACAGTTTTCAGATTTATGTGATAGTGAACAGCAGGTTTCGTTTACCTTGTTTTAGAAACTTCGACCAAAAAAATGTGTGTTTACTAAAGATTCATCGGCATTGAATGTTTGCGTTTGCATGATTCATGAAAACAGCAAATTTTTGTTTGATGCTTTACATAAAACAGCTTGTTTTTAAAATTGCAACACGGAAAAAGATTTGAAAAACTATTTGGTGAACGAATTAGTATGTGTAAACAGTACAGACGATTGCTTTTTGCGATCTTGTGATCAGTTGCGTGATTGATTTTATTGGACAATATTTGGACCAACAGAAAATTGACAAAATTAAATTAAATTTCTGAACAACTTCTCCTCGATGCGAAATAATAAGCAAGGAAGATGATGTGAGCGAATTTTTAGAAGGCTTAGAAAATCAAATTGAATAATTCATTATTCTCCGATTTAATATCCCGTTCACATTATTACATCACATAATATAGCTGTCTTGCAATGAGCACTCATACAGATTTCCAGTAAATACTAGATGTATGAGTGCTCATTGCAAGACAGCGTATATCACGCAATATACGCTGTCATGTGAACGGGGTATAAACACCGACAAATCGACATGAATGACCATAGCCAACACAATTAAATATCTGACCAAAGCACACTACTAACATCTGACTCCGTGTTTGCGGGAAATATTTAGCTAAGCCATGAACCCACAAGTAAAAGTTATGAATTGGTTCGTGTCTGATCTATTCTGGACAAATTATTTCTATCTAGATCAATATATCCTATGGTTTTGACATTTAAATCTGCCGTTTACGATTTTCGGGCATAGGTCAGAATTAAGTGTCATGTCGGTTTGTCGGTGGTATAAAGTTGAACAGCAATTTAAGTTTATAAGGATGGAAAAATAAAATTTGGTTGCAGGGAAAGAAATAATGTGTCAAATGGATTTGCTGCGAACTATTTTTGTTTGATCCAAGGTTCGATCGAAAGTCATTATTTTTCAAGGCACTAAGTAAATATTCACCCTTTTGTAGTTTACTACAATGAAGGTTTCTCTTTAAAAGTTTAAAATTTCATTGTAATAGCAGATATGAAAGATCGGTTTTCACGTTTTAATGTTAATTACTTTAAAAAATTAAATATCTGTCAGATGGTTGCGCAGCCCAAGTAACAAGTCTGGTTTTATGAGGGTTCTGTAGACCATGATTTAGACTTGTAGAATGCTATAAAACCTCTATAAAACTTGCAATGTTTCTTGGAAGAGAAGACGATAATTTCCACACACGCAGAAAAAAACGGGTACACGACGTTAGGCATACGGTCGTTAGGCATACGGACGTTAGGCATACGGACGTTAGGCATACGGACGTAAGGCATAATGTACGTTAGGCATAAAGGACGTTAGGCATAATTGACGTTAGGCATAATTGACGTTAGGCATAATTGACGTTAGGCATAATTGACGTTAGGCATAATTGACGTTAGGCATAATTGACGTTAGGCATAATTGACGTTAGGCATAATTGACGTTAGGCATAATCTACCCGATGAATTCCAGAAGGATGATAATGGGGACCGTCTATTGATTGCTGACTTCGGTGACAATAATGAAAGAGCCTTAATTTTTGGAACTCATGAAAACTTGCGACGTCTTGGACAGGCAAAGTATTGGGTTACAGATGGTACGTTTGCCACAGTTCCTTGTTTGTTTCGGCAACTCGTCACTGTTCATGGAAGTATCGCTCCCTCACATCAGCAGACGGTTCCGCTAGTTTTCATTCTGATGATAACAAAAACAGAATCGTTGTATCGAAAAGTATGGCAGGAAATCCTGGAAGCAGCAGGTATGTTTTTTTTTTTTGGTATTGAATGAAAAACCACAGAATTCACCATTCTTCATTTCATGAGCTGTTCTTTGGCATCATATTTTATTCAACCTTAGCTGTTTTTTTTTTTTGTTATTGAATGAAAAATCACAGAATTCACTATTCTTTATTTCATGAGCTGTATTTTGAGGAAAACTTTTTCTTTTTTGACAATTGCAATATGTGTGTAAGAATATATTACAACAAATGTGTGATTTTTTTTAATTTCTAGATGCGATTGATTTCAAGATATAGTTCAAAACTATGCTGAGTTTTCATTGCCAGCTTACTTAACCACTATCGCTACTAAACTTGGATCTAAGTAAATATGTAGCTACTTCACTTATGATATGATAAATAATGGATTCAAAACTGTGCTTATTAAATAAACTATGTTTGTTTAACGTGTATCATTTTTTATTCAACGTTTAGCCTAATATAAGCATTGTTTACCATGCTCGAAACAGGTTTCTAGAGTTGCACAACAGCAAAGAATTTTATGCCTAACGTCCATTATGCCTAACGTACATTATGCCTAACGTCCATTATGCCTAACGTCCGTATGCCTAACGTCCGTATGCCTAACGTATTTATGCCTATTGGGGTACACTCGAAAAAAACATAGGTGAATCAAATAAAGTTCGTTTCACTTCAAACAAAATTTTGAATAGAATATGGATCAATAAAATTGACAGAGTATCAACAAAAACATTGAGTTGAAATAATTATACTAACTTTATTGAATTGATCATCGGTTATTATTGATTCAAACAAAATGTTTGCTTGGATCAAAATGAAGCATTTTTTGAAGCTATGTACGTTTTTTGTTGTCTTGAAACATCATTTTAATTATTTAAGAATCGTTTTATTTTCAATGCCCAGGTTGTAAAATAAATATTGCAAATAACATGTAAAGTAGTAAGAAGTACATAAGTCTTTGTTCGATTGAGACAATTGAGCAGTCACTGTTTGTCACGTTCGCTTAATTAAGTTGGCATACTCGTCATATTCGCCAGAGCCAGAGCCATTCTGGTGTTGATTCTGATGTTGTTGGTGTTAATGTTGACTATTTGTGTTGCTGGAAGCGAGTGCATCTGCTGTAAGTGCAGCGATGGTGGCTGATGGTGACAATGATGGTTCAACAAGAGATGGTTCTCTTAAATTTTCTGAGCCAGACGTTGTGGGTGGAAATTGGATGATTTTGCTCCTGGAAGTTTGGTGGAGCCATATTTTGGAGGAATAGTGGCCACTACCGGATAGGGGAAAATTCATGTGGATGGACACATATTCAACGGTGGAGGAATTTTAATCGGCATCGGTAGCTGTTGTTTGTCTCAGCTCGGATTGCTTGGATGATGTTACATTACTTTTGAAGGTTCTCTTGCTGAATAGGAGGACTTGGCGTCAGCAACTGGATTGCTACAACTCAGCTTGTTGTTATGGTTTGTGTCCACTGAGCATATCCGCATCTGGAAATGTGAAATAATAGAAGATTCGTAAATACTTATTTTGAAAGTTTCACCTTCCACCTAGCTGGTTCTCCTGGTCGAAACACATTTGAAAACATGTGGTGACGATCTTCATGAAATGCATGCCGACACAGACTCACAGTTTGACACATGCAGTTCACATAATTTTATCGGTTTGATTTAAATGGAGTGTTGCATTTATTTAAAACATTTTTATGAATTGAATCAAACATAAATATCGTATTAAAAAATAACAACATGTTTTTATTTATTTATTTTATTTATTTGTTGTCAATCAGTGTAGACCGTTTTACAAAAGTTCTGTTGCCTTACATGCTATTTTAATTCATACATTTTATTTGAAATTGTCAATAAATGTAAATAACATATTGTAGGCGCTTACCAGGTTTTCCTACGTTGTGTTTGATGTTTGTGTTCGTTTTTCCTCTGTGCGGTAGCAGCACAGGTAATGTGGGAGAAGTTTCTCTTTCCTTTCAGGTACAGTGGTCGCACGAGCACCAGAAACCGGGAGATTCCAGGTAAGCGATGAAAAATCACTATAACTTTTATACACTACACTTTATTTCCTTTTTAACGCACTACTGTACAGAAAAAAAATAACTCCGCACTCAAGACTTTTATTTTTGATCTTAATTATCACACTACAAAAACGGAACTAACTGATCGATGGCGAGTATGGGAAAGTTAACACCTCAATTCGTTGCCTTCGGGTTTATTCGTGCCTGTGTTGCTAGTTTCATCCGGCGAAATTCTAATTATGTCGACCTAATTACAGTGAGCATCACAAATGAGGAAAGTTGCATGCAAGTGATACTCAAAACTAGTTCATGTTGATGAGTGTTTCAACATATCCGCCACCTTGAATGATTATGTCGTTCAATAAACGTCAACAGAAAAAGGCTAACGTCAACAGCAATAGTCTAACAACATTACAATTCTTATTGAACATTACAGGGGTGAGTATGAGTTATTTTAGGTTTTTTCTTATATTTTTAGGTGAAACCTTCTCAGGACTCGGGAAGCGTAGCGGTTGTTTGTTCATCTCGTAAGTCTTCTTCAGGAACCACAGCGGTCTGCGGCAGCTGGCAGGGTACTGGCTCGATTCGATGTTCTTCCTCAGGACACGCTGGCTGCGGCAAGAGGCAAATTTTGTGGATTGCCCGTTTGATGATCCCCTTTGCTGTTCGTAGGCTGACAACACGCACTAAATCGTCTTTTCCAGGATGCACAGTCACGATACGGGCAAGTGGCCAACGGATTGCTGGCAGTGACTCATCTGCGACGATGACCATGCGACCGGGCTGGATTTCGTTGTTGCGTGCTGCAAACTTCGTATCCCGCAGCATCTCCTGCAAGTGTTCCTTCCTCCAGTGGCTCCAGAATTTTTGGACGAGCAGCTGCCAGTTTTGGTACATTCCGAGAGCACCAATCGGTTGATTCTGGTAGTCTGGGTCGGGCAAGGCGGTCAGTGATGTTCCGATGAGGAAATGTGCCGGCGTCAGCGCTGCCAGGTCGTTTGGGTCGTCGGACATGGGTAGCAGAGGGCGAGAGTTCATGGCAGCTTCAATTTGGCTCAAAATTGTATAATAGCGTTCAAATGTAAGGTGAGTGCTTCCGAGTTGTCGAAATAAATGTTTTTTGGCAGTCTTGACCGCCGCTTCCCAAAGGCCACCGAAGTGTGGTGCCTTTGGGGGAGTCAAGTGCCACGTTATTCCATGCAGGGCACATGTGGAGGCAATTTCTCCCTGTTCTTTCTCGCTACGGAATCTGGCAAACAGTTCTGCTAGTTCCCCTTTCGCTCCCTCGAAATTCTTTCCATTATCCGAATGGATATGAGTAGGGATTCCCCTTCTCGATATTAATCTTCGCAAGGCGGCCAGAAACCCTTGAGTGGACAAATCTCCAACTTGTTCCAGGTGGACAGCTTTAGTAGCGAAGCAAATGAAAACTGCCAGGTAAGCCTTTGCGGGGGTGGCGCGCTTATGAATTGGCTTCAAATATAGTGGACCGGCGTAATCAACACCTGTAACTGCGAATGGACGACTTTGGATGACCCTCGAAGCTGGTAGCTGTCCAATTTGCTGTTGTGCAAGGACCGGACGATGACGTGAGCAGCGAAAGCAGTTCCTGACGATGCTTTTGACCAGATTTCTGCCATTGAGAGGCCAGTGTTCCTCGCGTATCGTGGACAGCAGAAGACGCCCGCCACAGTGGAGAAGTTGACGGTGGTAATGCTCACCGATCAGCTGGGAGAACGGATGATTCTTAGGGAGGAGGGCAGGGTGTTTCGATTCGTAAGGAAGCTGCGAAAGATTGAGCCGACCACCAACACGCATGATTCCCATTGGATCCAAAAATGGGTTTAGGCGTCGAGTGAACGAATGCTTCGGAACTGGATTTCCTCGTTGCAGCTCCCTGATTTCTTCCTTAAACGCATCTTGTTGGGCCAAACCGACAAGGAGTGTATTGGCATTGGCAAGCTCTTGAACGGTAAGTATTTCTGGGCTAATGTGGCTCTCTTGGGGGGATGCAAGTGGCTGGGTTCTGGCTTTAGAACAAGTTCTGCTTGCGAAGCGAAGGCAGTAACCGATTGTGTGTAACAGTCGTGTGTAGGATGACCACCGCAGAAACCATGGATTAATGCTGGGTATGGTTTGAACTGATACGACAACGACCTTTTCTTCCAATTCTTCCTCAGGTGCGGTGACTGCATGCGAAATTGGCCAAGTTTGCTGAGGATGCGCCAACCAGACTGGGCCATGCTTCCAAACTTCGCTGCTGATAAATTCATCGACCGACATCCCACGAGACACTAGATCGGCTTGGTTTTCCGTTCCAGATATGTGATTCCATCTTCCTCCATGGGTATAGTGCTGTACTTCAGACACTCTATTCGCGACAAATGTCTTCCATGTGCTCGGTGGTGCGCGAAGCCAGTACAGACACACCGCTGAGTCGGACCAGAAGTACGATGCCGATACGTGTACGCCGATAGACTCCTTCGCGCGATGATGTAGATGCGCCGCTAATACGCAAGCACATAGTTCTAGCCGGGCGATGGACAGCCGTTTCAAAGGAGCGACCTTGCTTTTCGAAGCTAGTAATCTTATTTTCACTGTTCACTGGGTGTTTATACAGCGAACGTAAACGCATGCTCCATAGGCAGTTGTCGAGGCATCGGCGAAGGTGTGTAGTTCCACGCTGGCGTCTGGTAGGAATGCGTAACGGTCAACTCTGTAGACGGAGATCTTCGGTAGCTCGTTCCGAAACTGTTCCCACTTCACTCGAATGGCATTTGGCACCGGATCATCCCACTCACAGGCAAGCGACCACAACTCCTGAATGAGAATTTTTGCTTTGACGACGACTGGTCCAATTAGACCAAGAGGATCGAACAATCTGACGATGTCAGATAGGATGGATCGTTTCGTGGGAGGGTCATCGCGTGTCTGCACTTGAAAATCGAAGCGAAGTTGATCCATCTCCGGTTCCCAACGAATGCCCAGACAATAGCATGAAATGATCTATTTCGAATTTACATTTCACATTTTTGACTTTCATCGGGATCAGTTTTTATACACAGTTCCCAAATTTGCATGACGAGGAATAATAAATTACTTATTAGCTTCTGTGTCAATTAAAAATTTAAGAGGTCCATTTTGACTCTCTATTGTAATAAATTATACAAAATCAGTTTTTACTCTAGTTCTTGTATAGTCGGGGCCGTGTGAAAATTTACTTCATTGTTTAATTCTTCGTCGAGATAATCTTTACCTGGAGTAGAATCTGAATAATCATGGGTTACTTTTTGATTCGCTATCTCATGATTTAGTCTATAAAGTTGTCTGGACTGGCTAGTTCTGGCAAGTTGATTATTAAACGGTCTACTCGGCCCTGCAATGGGTTGAGAGTTCACATTGTTGTTTGAAATTTTTGTTTCCAGTCTGTTAGTTGTTTGGTTTGTTGTTTGTTTGTGACCGGGTTTATCAACGAATTTCACTAATTCCTCGGGATGCTGCCACTGGGCATCCATCTGAATGTGTGTGGAGATTCCGGTATAGCAATCACTAATTGCTGTGTAAAAATTCCTGACCGAGTTTTTATTCTGTTCAAGCACAAATAATTTCTGAAGTAGGGTGGACAATTCAAGTTTATCCCCGTAGATGATTTTTAGTAGGTTTTTAGTTTTTCCCTAATCAAGTGGAGTCGATGCATTTTTTTCGATGATTTTTTTTTTCATCGGATGAAAAAAAAAATCAAGATTTTACTTTCGCTTTTTTGAGTTTATTGATTATATTTTTCCCTTTTTTTTCGATGATTTTGTTTTTGTGGCTGGCAACGAAAATGGGAAGAAAGTGAGAATTTTTTTCCTCTTTTTTTTAATTTTTCTATACATTTTTTTTTTCTTTTTCGATGACTTTTTTTTTGCTGGCATCGAAAATGGAAATAAAATTCAAAAATGTTTATTCGCCTTTTCTATTATGTTTTTTGTGTGATGATTTTATTTTGTGGCTTTCATTGACAGTGGAAAAAAAAAAATTCAAGATTTTTTTTATTATTATTCGCTAATATTTTATTTTTTGTAGCTCGCACCGAAAATGAAAAAAAAACTAATTTTGTTTTTTTGCCGTTTTAAATTTTTCGATGATATATATTTTCTTTTTCGATGATATTAATTTTCTTTTTCGATGATTTTTTTTTTTGTGGCTGGCATCGAAAATTTCAATATTTTCTTTTTGCCTTTTTTAATTTTTTTAAAATATTTTTTTTTTGTTTTTTGATGAATTTTTTTTTTGTGGCTGGCATCAAAAATGGAAAAAAATTTAAGAATTTTGTTTCACGTTTTTAAATTTTTTGATATCATAGTTTTTCGATGATATTTTTTGTGGGTGGCATCAAAAAGGAAAAACAATCAAAAATTTTGTTTAGCCTTTTTAATTGTTCGAAAATAGGTTTTTTTTTCTTTTTCCATAATCTTTTTTTTTTGTTTTGGCTGGCACCAAATATGAAAAAAAAAATTTCAATAATTTTTTTTTCGCCTTTTTTGATATTTTTTTTGTGGCTAGCATTGAAAATACAAACAAAAGTCAATAATTTTTAAGCCTTTTTTTATTTTTTTGTGGCTGGCGTCGAAAATTAAAAAAAAAAATGTTTTTTTCGCCTCTTTTATTTTTTGATTGTTTTTTTTCTCTATCCATGATTTATTTTGGCTGGAATCGAAAATGGAAAAAATGTACAAGAATTTTGTTTCGCCTTTTAATTTTTTTCTTTTTTGATGATTTTTTTTTGTTGCTGGCATCGACAAGAATTTTTTTTTTTTCGCCTTTTTTATTATGTTATTTCTTTTCGATGATTTTTATTTTGTGGCAACATTGGAAAAAAATCAAAAACGTTGTTGCGCCTGTTCTTTAATTATTCGATATTTTTTTCATTTTTCATGGCTCGCATCAAAAATGAAAAACAAAAAAAAGAATTTATTTTTCGCCTTTTTTTAAATTTTTCTATGATATTTATTTTCTTTTTCGATGATTTTTTTTTTTGGCTAGCATCGAAAATTTCAATATGTTTTTCGCCTTTTTTTTTATTTTTTGACAATAGTTTTGATTTGCCTTTTTAATTTTTTTTTGATGATTTTTTTTTGTGGCTGGCGTTGAAAATAGAAAATAAAATTTCTATAATTTTTTTCATCTGTTTTCAATTTTTCGACAATAGTTTATTTTGCTTTTAGCTTTTCTTTAGCTTGCATCAAAAATGGAAAAAAAAAAAAATTTCAAGGATTTTTGTGTTGCGCCTTTTTTTTAATTTTTCGACTTTTATTTTTGTTTTTCGATGATTTTTTTCGTGTTGCTGGTAGCAAATATGAAAAAAAAAAACTAAAATTAAATAATTTTTTTTCCTCTTTTAATTGTTGGATAATTTTTTTTTCTCTTTTTATGATTTTTTTTTATGGCTGGCATCGATAGTAAATTTTTATCTTATACCCCGTACAGACTATGGCTTATATCATGTAATATAGGCTGTCTTGCAATGAGCACTCATACATCTAGTTTTCACTGGAAATCCTATATTACATGATATAAGCCATAGTCTGTCCAGGGTATTAGAGATGACATCAGTCGACCATTTCCTGGATAGAAAGACACAATGTCTATAAAGTTGTCAAACAGAGCTCGACAGAATTATCCAAAAATTCCGTTGCTGGCTCCGTTAAGTGAACTATTTAAACAGTTTTCAGATTTATGTGATAGTGAACAGCAGGTTTCGTTTACCTTGTTTTAGAAACTTCGACCAAAAAAATGTGTGTTTACTAAAGATTCATCGGCATTGAATGTTTGCGTTTGCATGATTCATGAAAACAGCAAATTTTTGTTTGATGCTTTACATAAAACAGCTTGTTTTTAAAATTGCAACACGGAAAAAGATTTGAAAAACTATTTGGTGAACGAATTAGTATGTGTAAACAGTACAGACGATTGCTTTTTGCGATCTTGTGATCAGTTGCGTGATTGATTTTATTGGACAATATTTGGACCAACAGAAAATTGACAAAATTAAA